AGTCTTCTTTTGTTCTTGTCATTGACCTTTTGGAAATTACAGAGAGTCAGTGCTGTCCCCGAGGGTCTCCTGCTGGAAATATAAATGAAATGTGTTGAATAAGTACTGAGAGAGAGAGAGAAAGAGACAGAGATATAGATGATATGCCATTTGGATTATGAGGAAAAGCCAGTGATACAGAGTGAGATCCAATAAATGGACTTCTCCACATCACTGCTCTCATTTCTGAACGCAGCTGTCAGAGGTCTGAACAATTTTATAGGCGTCTCTCCTCAGATTACTCTGTGGCTATGAAGTGCAGTTCTCTCCATCGCCTAAGAGGGGCGCTACATCACCACGATCGCTCTCCTCACAGACAAAATGAGCTGAAATGGAGCGTTTATTGGAAATGTTCTTTACAACCACAGAGGACCCTGGCTGGTCACTGGCTAATAAAAGCTAATTTATGTTCGTGATGTGTGTTTTAGAGCCTCTGCCCCTATCAATATTGCATTAACATCCACCCCAATGGATCCTGTAATGCTATTATACAGAATAGAGTGCTCAGCTTGGCTTTTCTGCATTATCAAGGGTGTGATAGAGGGAGAATGCTGGATGATGTGGCATTTAAATAGGCTGCCATCTAATATGCAGGAACCCAGGGCTGATCATTCCATGAGTTCTCAGATGCCGTTCTTGCCATGAATCATTTTGCATGAAAAAGCTGTTATTGTTAAGTCTTGGTTTGGTGCAGACAGCCATTATTATAATAACAACCATCGGTCCACTCTAATTGACTTGCATGTATTGATTTTATGAATTGTCTGCTATATAACATTCAGCTGTCTGTCCAAGACAATCTCCCAAAATCTCTGTGCTTGAATCACAACGAAAGAAATAAATAAATCAATAATTTTACAAGTATCACATGTATGCTGATTGCTTTGCAGCCTGAAATGAAGACAGACACATTTTTTGTTTTATCCAGCTGTATTTACTCAGTGTAATTTATGACACTCAAGTGAAAGATATAACACCAACATGTCAGAAAAAAGTATATATATATATATATAAACAGAATCACAGAGTTGGAAAAAGGATCACCCCCTCCGAAAAATGACTTGTAAACTCAATCAGGTGTAGCTAATCACCTTCTCAAGAGAGCCATTTGCACACAGGGCCATTTGACTTTCTGCTGTGATCGGCTGTGCTCATTTTGATTGGCTCAGCCTGAAAAGAGCTTTCCTGGAGCATTTCAGTCCCTGGTAGTGCAACTGAAGCAAACAATCAACTATGGGTGGCAAGGCACTCTCAAAATATCTCTGGGATAAAGTTGTGGACAGTCACAAATCAGGAGATGGATGCAAAAACAATTCAAAGGCTTTATCAGTGCCAAGAAGCACTATATGAAGTGTAAGGTACTGGAAGGTATTTGGTACAGCACAGACCCTCCCTGGATCAGGATGTCCTCCAAACTGGATGAAAGAACTGGAGGAAACTGGTCAGAGAGGCGACCAAGAGGCCGACAGCAACTCTGAAGCAGCTGCAGGATTTTATGACAAAGAGTGGTCATTGTGTGCATGTGACAACACTATCACAAATTCTCCACTAATGTGGCTTGTATGGGAGGGGTGCAAGAAAAAATCCACTCCTCAAGAAAGGCCTCATGTCGTCATGACTGAGCTTTGCCAAAACGCACCTTGAAGATTCTGAGGCAGATGAGACTAAAATTGAATTATTTGGCCGCAATACCAAACGATATGTCTGAAGGAAAACCAATACCACTCGCCGTCCAAATAACAGCATTCCTCCAGTAAAGCATGGAGGTGGTGATATCCTGTTATGAGGGTGTTTCTCTGCAGCAGGGACTGGAGCACTTGTCAGGATAGAAGGAAAAATGGATGGGGCGAAATACTGTCAAATTCTTGAGGAAAATCTCCTGCCCTCTGCCAGAAAGTTGTCAATGGGAAGAAGGTTTCGTTTCAATATGACAATGACCCAAAGCACACAGCAAAACTGAGCACACAGTAGTTGAAGGAGAAAAAGGTGAATGTCCTTGCATGGCCTCGTCAGAGTCCAGACTTAAACCCCACTGAAAATCTGTGGAATGACTTGAAAACTGCAGTCCACAAACACTCACCATCAAATTTAACTGAACTTGAGCAATTCTGCAAAGAAGAGTGGGCAAATATTGCAAAGTCTAGATGTGTAAAGTTAGTAGAGACAAGTCCCAACAGACTAAAGGCTGTAAAATTAAAGCAAATGTAAAGTTTTTTTTAAAAACTTTTGAATTTGTATTCAGCTTCTACATGTTAATAAGAGAGATTACATCAAAGTTTACCAAGCAAACAATGAAAAGGGGTTTAAATGCTATTTTAAATGCAATAATTTATGCATTGTTTTTTCCCCACCTGTGACTGAGAGTTAGAACATGAAGTTTTTCGTTAAAAATAGATCTTCTTTCCTTTGCATTTATATGCAGTTACTAAATGTAGATAAAAAGACCTGCTGTATTACTTCAGAATTTGCCCCACAAACAATGGAGATATTTTGAAATGAGTGAGATCTTGGACAAAAACGGACAACTATCATTCTCTTATGTTGAATGTATAACTCCGACTGAGGCATTAACTGAGCACTTTAAGCCTGGAAGGGCTCGAGTCTGTCCGCTAATGACCCCATCAACATCTCAACATTCCTTCCTGTTGGAACATTGCAGAGCCATTGCAGAGCCGCCCCATGCAGCGTATCCACTGCTGAAGAGGTGGATGGGGAAGAGCGGAGGTGTTGATGTGAGTTTGAAGGATGTGGAGATCACAGGAGCTCAATCTAAACAAATCACTGCCCCGTGTGACTGTGTAACCTTTGAGTTGGTTTGAATGCCCAGCCTGAGCATCAGTGTAGTACAGCAGAGAGATAAGCATAGACATCAGGCGGGAGTCAGTGTGTGACTGTAAGTGCTGACCCTGAAATATAGAAGGGAAACAAATAGCAGAAGTGCACCACAGTAAAGTGACAAAGTGACTTCATAGCAGCCTCTGCAGTTATTATTGATTCCTCTCTACAGAAACTGCTGTTTCTTCATTTTGTTGGCTAAAGGTCTTTAAAAAGACCTAAAGAACAAGTAGTTGGTTTCATTAGTCCCCTGTTTTATTAAAAATGTCAATGTCTCTCTTTTTGTTGATAGATCTTGCATGTCTACATCAGAGAAAGAAAGCCCTGGTGAGTATGCGCACCATTTTAACAGTTCAATTCTTTTGTAGTATTGAAGCAAAAGGTCAAAATGTCCCTTTTCGACATTATTTTCAGGAGCTGACCACCAGGAGAAGTTGTTCACCGCACGTCAGAAGTTTGGCGATCGTCGTGAAGGCGTGACAAGCACTCGTACTTATTTCTATGCCGATGAGGCGAAATGCGACCAGCACATGGAGACTTTCCTGAAATGCATCAAAGCCTCAGGTAACAGACCATCTATTAAAGCTGATTAGTAATTAACTTTGGAATTGGAGTCAGATTATAAGCAAAACAAAAGCCAGGAGCTACAAATGCAGTGACCAAAACATAGAAAGTAAGGCACTTTCCATGAACAGGATACAAAGTAGGGCCTGAAACTGAAAATTAGGTTTTTATTTATTTGACCTTCATATGATTTTAATCGGCAACAACTAAATATTATATGATTTTTCATTTCTTTTTACATGAGCTTACACTCTTAAAAATAAAGGTGCTTCACGATGCCATAGAAGAACCTTTTTGTCTAAATGGTTCCATAAAGATCCTTTAACATCTGAAGAACCTTTCTGTTTCACAAAAGGTTCTTTGTGGTGAAAAAAGGTTCTTCAGATTATAAAAAGGTAAGAAAGAGATGGTTCTTTAAAGAACCTTTGACTGAATGGTTCTTTGTGGAACCAAAAATGGTTCTTCTATGGCATCGCTTGAAGCACCTTTATTTTTAAGAGTGTACTGCATTTTTTTTAATGTCTGTCTGAATTGTTTAAAACGATGCTTCTGAACCTTTTTGACTCGAAGGCCTCCAATTATCAGCCCAATTTTCATCTGTTTGATTTGATTTTATTTATTATTATTATTATTATTATTATTATTTTACTAAATAGAAATGGGGAAAAAATAATATACATTATTTATTTATTATTAATATTATACATTAAAATATAACTATTTATTTTAATAAAGTTAGCTTATTTTAATTTATTAATTGGATTGAAATAATTTAATTAGTTATTATTATAATTTAATATATTATTAACATATTATTATTTGTATTTTATTAATATTAATTTGATTGAAATAATCTATTCATTTATTTATTATTATAATCATTTAATAATATATTATTACAATATTATTATTATTATTTAATTTTTTGCTAATTAAACAGACAACAAAATCCAAGTTAATCCAAATTATTTTTTTTGAATGGCATTTAGTTATTTTAAAAATGGGATAATATACATTGATAAACATTTAAATAAATGTAAATGTACGCGGGTTAGTCAAAAGGCTAATGTTCAGTCCCTTTTACCTGCTGTTATTAGGCAAGAAAGGGAAAAAAAAGGAAAATTTAAATCACATAAATCTGTAGACAGACGGGGTCTAAATTGTGTTACTAAAGTGTCAATATTATCTTTTAGACTCAAGAAGGAGGAGTTATAATGTGTGTAGGCCAAACTATTGTTCAAGATCGGGTTTCCCAGGAAATATTGCTAAATACACAAGACACATAGCCTATTGTGAGATGATACCATTTATTTGATAGTACCAGTTTTCAGGGGTCAGGGTTTCCGGAATCCATTCATAACTGAAATACAAAGTTGTGCCATATTGAATGAGCTTATTTCATTAAATACTGCGCACATTCATATACCTAACTAACATAAGAGTATAACACACCAATATGTGTTTAGATTTTGAAATCGTAATGGCATATATAATGATGCCTTTTTCAAATGCAGAGCAAGTTTTAAAACACTACTACTCTCATGTAAACCGCATTGTCTTGCAATAAGTTGATTTTGTCTGTAACAGTGTTCAGACTTCCTTCAAACCTCTCAAGCTGAGATTTATGCCTTCTTTAAAAAAATAATGGGACACCAAAATGTACTCTATTCATGGAAAGTGGTGCAAACTTTTATCCCGTTCTTCCTTTAATGCTTGTTGTGTGCTATGCAGATTATTTGTATATATATTTAGCGTACGTGCAAGAGTGCCAAGAAAGCATGGAAGCTGTCCAACTTTTGAAAGCATTTATATTTGTGAATGTGCATGCAGCTCGAGTTTTCCATTATAGCAGCAGTATTGGAGAAACACCCATTGTAATGCAACACTAAATATAACTGCATAGAATTCATTCAGCATTCCTGGAAGATTGCACCTAAAAAAAAAAAAGGCAGTTTCACTTTCATTGCTGCAGTTACCTCTAAAATAACTCTAAAAGAAAATCACCTGCCTGCTCAGGTGAAAGTTCTGAAGACGGTTTCTTGGCTGTTAAGATGACTGCCTTGGGGCGACCACAATTCCTGGTAAGACTGAAGTTCAGGCAGGGTTAAAATCCGTCACCTTGGTGAACTAAACAGTCTCCTCATCCTTCCCTCGGGCGCCTGTAGCTCCAGTTCTCCGAGGTGCTGGTGAAATGGAGATGCTTTTTCAGTTTCCTGGCTGCCAAGCAGGGGAAAGATGGCGTGGAGGTGTTGGAGCAGAAACTGGATCTAGAGCAATTGCAGGTATGCTTTGGGTTCAAACTGCGGCCAAACACACAGATCAACCAACACTAAAGCGTGTTTAATACTGCAGTAGACTGTAAGGCAGCTGTAACAAATCTGACCTGCAGCAAGCAACTGGAGGCTATATTGCAATGACTGTATAGTATGAGCTGCATTTATTTTAATGGTAAAATGTAATTAACATGGCAATAAATAATTAAGTAGTCTTTTAGCAGACACTTGTATCCAAAGCAACTTACACAAGATATTTATACATGATTATTTCCACTTGAGAAATAGTTTTGCTTAAAGGAATAGTTCACCCAAAAATGAAGATTTGCTGAAAATGTACTCACCTTCAGGCCATCCAAGATGTAGTTGAGTTTGTTTCTTCATCAGAACAGATTTGGAGAAATGTAGCATTACATTACTTGCTCACCAGTGGATCCTCTGCAGTGAATGGGTGCCGTCAGAATGAGAGTCCAAACAGCTGATGAAAATGATTACAGTAATCCACACACAATCCACACGACTCCAGTCCATTTATCATCTTGTGAAGCGAAAAGCTGTGTGCTTGTATTAAACAAATTCATTATTAGGACATTTTAACTTCAATCAGTTGCTTCTGAGTCCTCTAGCTATATTATTGCTTTCTCCAATGAAAAAGTTGTCTTGTCTGTATCAAGAGAGAAATATTCACAGATTAAGCAGATATTTTTCAACAAATTTTCATTTTTGGGTGAACTATTCCTTTAAGGGTATAATAGTGATACTACATGAATTGACACTTGCAAGGTTCAGACTTACAACCTTTAATAGTCCACATTTTTAACCATTAAACTACCACATAATGACCATTGAAAACATGAGCATATTTTAACTTTTTCATTCATTATGCACAAATACACATTACAAGAGTTTTTAAATTCAAGCAGAAAAAAAACTGTAGCTCTGCATATTCAAACCTTGGAGGGTTTTGAGCGAATGATATGCATAATAGGAGTACATCAATTATGAAAATCATGTCATACGTTTTTTTTCTTTATGACACAACAGAACAAATTCTTATGTTCCGCCCTCTTATTTTGCACATATTGAAATAATACTGTTGCCATGGGCTGTCAAACTCTGAGAAAGACAAAGAAAGCACCATAGAAACCCTGTATAATTTTTCTAAAACCATATAATAGCTTTGTGTGAGACTCATGTAAGTCATTAATAGCTTAAAATCCTTCAAAGTTTGAATATGCAGATGTGCATTTAATATATGAGAGCTACAGGTTTTTTTCCGCTTGAATTTGAAACACTTTCAATGTAGTGCACAAGCCATATGAAATAGTGCTTTTTTTTTTTGGAGAGTAAAGGCCCAAACACACCATGGACGATAACCATAATGATAAAGCTACAGATCTAAAAAAAAATATATTCTTAATATAAAAGAATAGAGTCTGGAATCACAATTTTGTTTCAGCCAGTTAATGATAAAAACATTGACAGCCAAGAACTTGAGCATTCAAAGCAACAAAACTGCAGAACAATATTGTCTGTTGGTGTGGATGCTGATGAGTTTGTTATAGTTATTTTTACATTTCTCGTTCTTGGTGTGAGTGGGCCTTAAGAGCTGTTCTTCAGAATGTATCATTTTTTGTTCCAAGGAACACAAAACTCCCAGTGGGTGCATTTTGGGTAAGCTTGCCCTTTAATCATGCAGTCTTTTTGGAGTGTTTGGTCTGATGAATGAAAATGTGTGTGTTTTCTTTGCAGACATGTCTAGCCAGACTGGGAGCTCAAGGCAACATTCAGAGCTGCCTCTCTGATGGACTAAGATTAATAAATGCTTTATAAATATTTTTCATTCTTATGTTTACTAATCATGTTTACTAATGTAGTTAACTAATGTTACCAAAACTTCAAGTAAAGCTTTGTCAAGCCAACTAGTTAAAAATTGATAGGATATACATAAAATGACAAATACATAATTATGAATTATAAATAGAATTTCTTTGAATTTTAATTCAATTTTAGTACATTCTTCCAAACATTCAAAATTGGGTTCCGTCAGGTTTGAAGGCATTGGTGCAAAAATACAATAGGCTAACAAGGGTGTGTTTTCTATACAACAAGCAACTTGCTAATTGACTACTACAGAGAAATGCATTTTTTTTAAGAAACTAACCAACTAGTCACAAATGTTTCCCAAAACTGTAGTAACATGGTTGCACCATTTTTTTTGTAATATGTTGATTCAACAGTATGGATAGCCATTCATTTAAGTTTGCGATGTTTAAGTTTCAGTAAACACCATTATGTTGAACTATGTTCATAAAGACAAAACTTTCGACCATAGTTCGAATGCTTTTAGAAAATGCACCACTGACTGCACTCGTCAGGGTGAGAAAAACCAGTTTCCCGTAGCTGTTCTGACACTCAGACTTGTAAATCTTCTCAATCAATGGCAGACAATGAAGTTATCTTATGAACTGAGGAGAGCTACTCAAGGACTATTCCATGGGTGCTCCATTACTCCGCTTGACCCCCTCGAGTCAACTAAACCCCTGAGTAACTAAACTCATATAGGAGCACTTTGCACTGCAGAATCGACCAGTTTTGTAATGATGCATGTAAATCGTCTGATGTTTAAGAAACATCATGTGGGACACGCTGCTGAAACGTGAATGCTATTTTTTTTATTTGTTCCCCAAAGTAAAATTCCAGTAAAATTACTGAAATAAAAGTATATTACAATAAAATATTGAAATGATAATAACGAAAATGACAAGCATATAACAAAATTAAACAAAAAGTAAAATGAAAATATAAAAAGTAAAAGCTAATTCAAAATATTAATAAACACTATAATAACAATGAATACTAAAGTAAAACTAGTTTATATCACAAATTGTTACAAGTATGAGCAACGACATTTAACAAGCACCTGTAATGATGCATGTAAATCGTCTGATGTTTAAGAAACATCATGTGGGACACGCTGCTGAAACGTGAATGCTATTTTTTTTATTTGTTCCCCAAAGTAAAATTCCAGTAAAATTACTGAAAATAAACTAAAACTGAAATAAAAGTATATTACAATAAAATATTGAAATGATAATAACGAAAATGACAAGCATATAACAAAATTAAACAAAAAGTAAAATGAAAATATAAAAAGTAAAAGCTAATTCAAAATATTAATAAACACTATAATAACAATGAATACTAAAGTAAAACTAGTTTATATCACAAATTGTTACAAGTATGAGCAACGACATTTAACAAGCACCGCTAATACATGTTTCCAAACAGGATTTCAAAACACCCTGTTCTTCTATTGTTCTGTCAGACAAGCAGTTCCTCTTCAAACTCGTGCATTTGTTAAGCCAGAAGCTGCTCAATCAAACAATAATGTCATAAATGTGACCCATTGTTTGCAGTCTTTATGAAGTCAACCTATGAATGGCTTTCTTCTGCGGAGGCGGGGTTTAGCCACACTATTACATCATAAAGTGGCACATTCTACAACCTGTCGTTTTGGCAGAATGACTTTAATATAAGCTGTTTTTAGACTAACAAGAAAGATTTGAGTTCTGTAACTTGCAGGATGTTTTTACAGTACAGTGACCTCTTATTTCAAAAGGAAATTTGATTTCTCAGTTCATGACACCTTTAAAATATAAAAGTTATTTTAAATTATGAATGGCTTTCTTATTGCATAATAAACTGCGCCGTTTACCTGAAAGATCTCTCTCCAATAATTAAAACAATTTGTAAAAAAAACTAAACAAAAACAATAACAGTATTTAAAAGTTTATTATTATTATTATTATTATTATTATTATTAATAAGAATTACTTCCCAAATGAAAATGCACCCATATGTGTTCATATGCTGAATTTCTTTCGCTTTTGTATTTTATTTTTAGAACAGACTGGTCAGCTGGAGCCTCTTCTGTCCAAGTTCACTGAAGAAGAGGAAAGGCAGATGAAAAGGATGCGTCAGCGCCTGGATGTCTTGGCTAAGGTTCGTTCATTGGCTGCGTTCTCCCGTGCTATTCATGCTGAGTGGCAGAAGGTCATGGTCTAACAGACAGTCATGGATGAAGAATGTAACAGAGATCGATTTTGAGAAAGCCTTCAGCAGAGTGTGGAGGTTAGAGAGTTGTTCCGCCCCGTCGACTTGATGCGAGGAACATGTATCGGGTTTATGTCGCACTGTGAAAGGCCGATGGTACAAGCAGTACAAGCTGTGTGACTCACAGTAGACTTGAGGCTTCCTGTTTCTCAGTCTGGAAGTACCAAATCAAACAAAGTTTGGAGATTTCATATAACAGTTTTTCTCTAAATTGGTTACCTGGAGAATACGATACGAGTTTTATTTTTTTTATAAGTTGGAACTGGATTTCACTCATTCTACAGTGAGTTGCGGTGCGATGTGACTTATGTCAATACAGTGCTGCTTGAAAGTTTATGAACCCTTCAGAATTTTCTATATTTCTGCAGAAATATGACCCAAAAGATCAGCAGATTTTCACAAAAGTCCTGAAGGTTGACAAAAAGAATCCGATCAAACAAATGAGACAAAAATATATACATTATATTGACAGAGTATTTTTAAGTTAAATGCAAATGATCGCACCGGTGCCTCTAAGTTAACTGTCATGCAGTGAGCGCGCTACTTTTCAGCTTCCACACTCCACACAAACACTTGAATAGCACACATTTTTCTAGGTTAACATTCCGAGGCTTCCTGTTTCTCAGTCTGGAAGTACCAAATCAAACAAAGTTTGGAGATTTCATATAACAGTTTTTCTCTAAATTGGTTACCTGGAGAATACGATACGAGTTTTATTTTTTTATAAGTTGGAACTGGATTTCACTCATTCTACAGTGAGTTGCGGTGCGATGTGACTTATGTCAATACAGTGCTGCTTGAAAGTTTATGAACCCTTCAGAATTTTCTATATTTCTGCAGAAATATGACCCAAAAGATCAGCAGATTTTCACAAAAGTCCTGAAGGTTGACAAAAAGAATCCGATCAAACAAATGAGACAAAAATATATACATTATATTGACAGAGTATTTTTAAGTTAAATGCAAATGATCGCACCGGTGCCTCTAAGTTAACTGTCATGCAGTGAGCGCGCTACTTTTCAGCTTCCACACTCCACACAAACACTTGAATAGCACACATTTTTCTAGGTTAACATTCAAGCGAGCAGCCATGTAATGTTGCTTCTACTTACAAGTTTCAGATGATAAGCCACATTTGAGGTCGATGACCGAAACGAACGTTTGGATGTCGGATGTACTGTAATTACCACATAGACCAGCTGTTAATAATCTGTCCATCATGGACTTCACCACTTCCTGTGGGATTTTGTTTTTCTGCAGCTAAGCGACTAATAAGCTAATCGACTAAGCCTCTTCTCATCGACTAATGGTTAGTCGACTATTAGGTGGCAGCCCTACCCTTACGAAAAATGTATTCAAGTGTGCTATTAGTATACTTCTTTTAAACAAAAAATAGGAAAGTATACTTTCAGTCTACTTTTTATGTACTTCTCAGAAATATACTTATAATGACATTTAAGTATACTTGACTTATACTAAGAAAAAGGGTAAATATATTTGAGCTATAGCTACTTGTGCTCCAGGAATCCGTGTTTTCATTGTTATCCGTTAGGGGGCGCTATTACACATCTTCTGTACAGAAGAAACCGAAACAACAGATGCTTCCACATGTAATCTAACACGATCAGACATAAAACAGCATCAAAACTGTGTAACGTTATGAAATAAAATGTCGACCCATAAAGAGCTCTGGGGTGTTGATAGACTCCATCTATGTTTTGATTATCACTCTGAATCCAATTCATAGTCTTCTTTCAGCTTTTTGTTCAAAATGTTGTTTATTTATTTTTATTTATTTATGAAACTAACCTACATTCAAGTGTTTATAAAAAAGAATGAGTAAAATGTTTTTGTTTACAATCAGATACCCTGTTCTTTCTTCTGATGTTTTGTATGTTCAGATATTCATATAACAAAATATATACAAATTAATACCTAAATAGGGACATAGTAGTATTCTTAAAGTATGATGTAAAGTTCACTTAAAGCGTGTTCACCCAAAAATGAAAATTAGCTTGTGTTTTACTCACCCTCGAAGCATCCTAGGTGTATATGACTTTCTTCTTTCGAATCCAGTCGGAGTTATATATGCAGTTGAACAGTCCACAAGTCGTCAAATAAAGCTCGCACATTCATAATAAAACGTGCCGCAGACGGCTCCGGGGGATGAATAAAGGCCCCCTGTAGTGAATCCATGTGTTTTTTAAAGAAAAATATCCATATTTCAAACGTAATAAACACTTTTCTCTCACTTCCGCTGACTGTCATACACTGAAGCAGTTCCGGCGAATGACGCAGCACGTATGCGCAGCGCGCAAAAAAACCCAAGTCTGCTCTTGGTTAAAACATTAAACACATATATGTAAACTATTTGTGTACTCAAAATTTACTACTGTTATACTATAAGTATACTTAAAAGTATACTTTTATATACTAGAAATTGGGCCAAATACAAGGAGTATTAAAATAGTTACAAGTATACTACTAGTACACTGATATTTGTATACTTACTACATAAAGTATGCTTAAAAATATACTTCGGTGAAAAGTATACTTCTTTTGGTAAGGGCATTTACACTGTTGCTGCTTCCCAGTTCGCCTAATTGTACTATGCCCTAAAAGTATGTACTCTTTTTGTGAAGAAAAAAGAGCTTTGACCACTTTAGAAAATAATTATAAAAAAATATATTTCACATTATTGCTGTTTTTACTGTATTTTTGATCAAATAAATGCAACCTGGTAAGCATAAGAGACTTTCAAAAACATTAAGAAACCTTACCAAACCCAAACTTTTGAACAGTAGTGTAGTTAATTGTATTTTTATTTTGATCAGTATATTTATTGTTTTAGCCTTTAAACCTATCAAACTACTTTTATTTTGAAGTGTTTTGCGTGTGCAATATTTCTTCACTTGGTTTGTTATTTTGTTATCTAATGCAATGACTTTCAGATATTTTTAAATGTCCAAATACTCTTTAGCACCGCTGTATCGTTGTCATTATTGCAGATGAGGTTATAGCATCATTATTTGTTGACAGATCCTTGGTGATATCAGAAATGATGGTTGCCACGTCAATTAAAATGCCGCTGTCTGTGGTGATATCTTTATCTTTGATATCTTTAGTCAGCTAACTAACATGTTTTAACTCGCCGCCTGCTTCTCATGTCCTGAACAGCATGCGGTGGAAAATGGCGTCAGGCTGATGGTGGATGCCGAACAGACATATTTCCAGCATGCTATCAGCAGACTCACTGTGGAAATGAAGATAATCTTCAACCGAGACAAAGCTGTTGTTTTTAACACCTATCAGTGCTACCTCAAAGTGAGCCTCACACATGCACACACGTCTGACACCTATGAATGGTGTTAACGTGGCTCACATGATGCTATTCTGGGATTTATCTACAGTTAGATGCTGTGCAGAAAACATGCTATTATAGCACGATAACATTTAGACAATGCAACATCAAAACTGACATTTAACACCGTGGTGCTTGCAATCTTTCTTTGTTTTGCAAGTAATCCTGAAAGGAAATAAATGATGATGGTGACAATTAAACACATGCAGTGCACACACATTGAGTCTCCATATACCTTCTATCATAACAGGGTCTGCTTATAATGTTAGTCATGGTTTCTTGCACCAAAAATGGTAACAGTTAGTGATTCATGACCATTTTCCACCTTCTCTTTAGCATTTATGAATAATTACGCTGTTTTTGCTACTATTACCCTTTTGTATGTATCGTATTTTCCAGAATACAATTTGTGCTTTTTAATCATCAAAAACGTGCTGCAACTGATATTCCAAAGCGATCAGGATTTGGATTTGTGCCGAATGAGAGAGATACATGAGTCCAAGATTACTTGTATATCGTATTCGCTTTAAATTATTTTAGTGTTTATAATAAATGTTGTTTATAATGCCACTATAATTTGTTTGTTTTATACTTATATATTTCATTCCTATTTCTGAATACTGTTAAATTTAGGATTTGTAGAGTGAGGGAAACTAAAATACGTTTATAATGTTTGTACATTTCTTTTTATTTACTGGTATTTTACATTCTTCCCTAATGTAATAGTACTTATTTTTGACCCTTTGCAACTTATTTTCCAGAAAATTACCTTTTGTTAAAGGATTAGTTCACCCCAAAATTTTAATTTGGTTAAACTTTACTCATCCTTAGGCCAGCCAAGATGTAGATGAGTTTGTTTCCTCATCGGAGCAGATTTGAAGACATTTACATCCCTTGCTCTCCAGTGGATCCTCTGCAGTGAATGGGTGCCGTCAGAATGAGAGTCCAAACAGCTGATAAATACATCACAATAATCCACACCACTCCAGTCCATCAAGTATTGTCTAGTGAAGTGAAAAGCTACATGTTTGTAAATCCATCAAGACATTTTAACTTTAAAATATGACCCCATAATCCATGATAAATCTTCCTCCAGTGAAATCCATCCTCTGTTGTCCTCTCACATGATAATCCACAGACATATTTGTTTAAAACAGTTTTAGACTGTTTTCACTTGTAAATGGAGCTTGATCTGTTCATATTTCTCTCCTGATTCAGATGAGACAACCTCTTCGCTGGAGAAAAAAACATGGATAGAGGACTCTCATTTTATCCGGAAGCAATGGTTTGAATTTTTTTAAATTAATGATGTATTTATTATACGCATGCAGCTTTTCACTTCACAAGACGTTAATTGATGGACTGGAGTCATGTGGATAATTGCGATGTTTTTATCAGCTATTCGGACTCTCATTCTGACGGCACCCATTCACTGCAGAGGATCCACTGAGCAAGTGTTGTATTGCTAAATTTTTTCCAAATCTGTTCTGTTGCAATGTAATGAATTCTCTGTGCTCAGGAGGCATTTGATAATGTGTCCATGGATGTTGAGTTATCAAGAAGGGAGGGCTGGTGTTTTGGTGCCAAGGTAAGGGGGGGCTTACATGTACCAGGAGAGAAGCCGAGCTGCAGAGATTGGATATGAAGACCTCATCAACCCAGAATATGAATCCACTAACAGAATGTACCAGAGGCAAGAAATGTTCCAAATTCTTCCTTGTAAAATTCACCCTTGAAGTCTGTTCCAAAACCTAGTGAGTTGCCTTGTTGTTTACAAAGGCTGCTACTTTCTAAGGCAGCGTCTGAACTGAAATGGAGCGTCATAAGTGACTCATCTGATAGCTCTTCTTGGGCAGCAGCTCCATTAACGGTCACTCACCCACGCAAAACAAATAGAGCTAATCGCAAAAAACACACAAGAGACCCTCACAGCTGATTCCAATAGAGTCTGATGCAGGGTGGCCATGGACTCCCACTTTTAGGCCACATCCCCGTTGTCTGATATTAAAATACTGCCCTATTTCTCCCTTCGCTCACATTAAAACAAAATTTCAGATATAGGCTTAAATTAGCTATATCTTTAGTTTTTTTTAGTTTTTATTATTAGTTTAAGTTATTTTATGTTATGTCTAATTGTTTTACAATATTTCATTTGTTTGATATCGACAGACTTCATCTCTGGATTAATATTAGATTACGTACAAGTAAACAATGCTGGCTTGATATTTCAATGCCAAGACAGAATGAAACAACTTTGGCTCATGAATATTAATGAAGTAGCATGACTGGACAGTCTAGAACAGTGTTTCCCAACCTTTTTTTAGTCGCGGCACCCTTTGGAAATGAACAAACTTGTGGCACCCTACAAAATTAATTTTGTCACAATATTTGAATTTCTAACTTCGATATGATAATTTGAACAAATTTTGCCCACTCAGTGTTTTTTTTATTTTACAGTGGGGTAATTTTGGTGCAAAATCAGTAGCAGGAGATAGCTTGATTTCAAACTTTGAATTGAATAAATGAGAATAAATAAAGAAATTAATAATGATAGCACAAATAAAAAAAAACGACAGACCTTCAAATGAAATAAATAGCTTTTTAGTTTTTCAGGTAGGTCTAACAGTAGGGTTAAGATATTTAACTTTTTTTTTACCAATTATCCAAATAATGTTCAGTCCTAGAAAGCTGTTTTTATCAGAACACGTGAGCATAACATAGCGGTTAGCAGATCAATGAATGAGAGGGCAGCGTTACCAGAGTTGCCCATATACCACACCATGTTACAACACAGTAGGGCTATTGCAGACAGAAACAATACTGTACTACATCAATGTTTCCTGTCGGCTCAGTGTTTGAGTGGACTTTGCTGTTCCGATGAGCATGAGCGGTATACGAGTGGAGTGACTGAGTGGAGCGCACACACACACATAGAGCGGGATAATATGCAGAGCATCACACCACGTGATAGTGAAACCTGAGCGGTGAACTAATTTTCGGCAGCCGAAATTTCGGTGCATCTTAATTATTGGCCACATCAGAAATGGATATTATATAATAGATGCTTTTTTGAAAATTTTAGCAATTTAAAAATAATAAAAAAATGATTTTTTGATCAATGAATGAGAGGGCAGCGTTACCAGAGTTGCCCATATACCACACCATGTTACAACACAGTAGGGCTATTGCAGACAGAAACAATACTGTACTACATCAATGTTTCCTGTCGGCTCAGTGTTTGAGTGGACTTTGCTGTTCCGATGAGCATGAACGGTATACGAGTGGAGCGACTGAGTGGAGCGCACACACACATAGAGCGGGATAATATGCAGAGCATCACACCACGTGATAGTGAAACCTGAGCGGTGAACTAATTTTCGGCAGCCGAAATTTCGGTGCATCTTAATTATTGGCCACATCAGAAATGGATATTATATAATAGATGCTTTTTTGAAAATTTTAGCAATTTAAAAATATTAAAAAAAGATTTTTTTTACACGGCACCCCTGCTCTCGACAGACGGCACCCCGGTTGGGAAACACTGTACTAGACTATAGGAAGTCTGGTTCTTCAATAAAAATGACAATTGCTGAAGAATACAAATGTTAAATTATGCAAGTTAATTACGACATTCATGTTTTTTTTAGCCTTTTAACTATTTTAAAGCTTGTTTGGTCATTTGAAATAATTGTATGCCATTTTTGGAGTTTACTGAAACCATCTAGGTGGATAACATGCTGTTTTGGAACAGATAATTATGGAAAAATTCTTCATTTAATAAGAATGTTTTGTTTCAGAAAGCAGAAGTCTTGGGTCAGGTTCACTTTGCCTCTCTTTAAGGAGCAAGATGACATGGCCAAGTAGATTCTGAGTCCAGATCAGCAGTCCTAAGATACTTGTTACATCTAGGACCTTATCTGAACATCGTACTTCTTCTGAACTGTGCTTCATTCAGACGGTCTATGTGCTGACAGAATGTTTCACAGGCAGGAGAGATTTATCTAGAGTCTTGGCTTATCTCACCATAGGTAAGCCTCTTATGATTAAGGCAGATTCTGACAGCTTTCAAAATAAATCAGATCTTTTCAAAAGCTTTTTGTGTTTGGCGGTCAACAGTCATGTTGGCTGAAAGTGCAGACCAGAAGCAGGATGATTTATGAGCAGCTGGTGTCTTTCAAGTGTCTGGATTACGTGCTGGAGGAGATCGAATGGAATAAGAAAGCAAATGTCATGGTGGCATCGCACAATCTAGACACTGTTAAACACACTCAGAAGGTCAGTTTTTCTTTTTTTTTTACCCCCTCTCTCCTTTTGTCTTTCTATTATATACAGTATGTGAACCATCATAAACAAATGTAATTTCCACCACAACTCAAATATCGTTTTTTAGAATAAAATATCTAGAATATCTAGCTAGAATTTTATGTATCTCAAAAATGCATTATATAATATATTTTTTTTGCACAGTTTGACAGAATTACAGCTTGATTGGAAATGTCGAAAAAAACACGTGATGTTTATCTGAAGTTTTTATTCTTTTTATCAAATCTCTCAAATTTCTTGTTAAGCATTCTCTTCACTGATATGATTGTCTCCAATGCACAATAACTTTTAAGTACACTTAAATCTTTGTTTAGATTATCATTTTTAAAATGTAATAATATTTTAATGATGGATCTTGATATTTTAAGACAAAGTCTGGGATAAGATTAAAAATACAGTAAAATTGTGAAATAATATTAGAATTCAAATTATTATTATTCGAATTATTAGCTTTATATTTATTTATTTAGAACTGTTTAAAATGCATTTAAAATAACACATGATCCTTCAGAAATCTTTATAAATATGCTGATTTGCTGCTCAAGTAACATTTCTTATGATCAATGCTGAAAACAGTTGTGCTGCTTAAAAATCAGCCTCTGGACATAAAGTTGAGAGTTACACTGAGTTACATTCACATATCGAGTGTACTGTAGTTGTGTTGTTGTTTGATATCAGGACTTTCCCTGCATCACCAGTAACATTTAGATCCCTCTGGGAGTAAATTAATTTGTTTAAATTAATAATGTAATATGCAATCATTAATTTTATGTAATCACTCCTTAGGGGTGTAACCTCATTTGACAAAGGTGTGCCAGTGACCGATGCCATTAACATTCTCTGTCACAATGTCAAAGAGTGTCACCAGGGCATGATTCATACGGAGGTCCACACTAGTTACCCTCCTTTTACATCATTCACACTTAATATCACCTTAAGTGTCTCAAAATGTGTCTTGTTCGTGCATGTAATGGCTGTAACCGATAAGAGGGTGTAAAACTTTGAGTGAGCAATCGCCAGAATGTATCCGGAATTAAATGACCTTGCCAAAGGGGCCTCTCTCATTTTTCACTTTCTGTGACGGCACTCTGTGTGTTTATGGTCTAACAGGATGAATGAAATGGGTCTGGCACCCACAGATAAGAAGGTGTACTTCAGCCAGCTCCTGAGAATGTGCGACCAAATCAACTTTCCATTAGGTGAACACACACACACACACACACACACGTGTGTGTATAAAATGTCAGCTAATGATTGTTTTAAGTAAAAATCCTGTAATAAACTGCAATATTAGTCAAACAATGACAAGCAATTTTCCCCATAGTTGGGGTTGATTTACAATTGAATGACCATTATATATTATATACAATTGTAATTATTATAGTGTGTGTGTGTGTGTATAGTATATTAGTTATAGATAAAAATAAAATATAAAAATGCAAATATAATATAAAATGTATGTATTTAAATGTATATAAATGAATATTAACTTGTATAAAATATACTTACATGTTATTGATGTCGTTTTAATATAATAATTAATAATTTAGTTATTACTTATAACTTTATAAAATTATTAGTATTTAAGCTATATATTTGTCACACTATGCTATATATATATATATATATATATATATATATATATATATATATATGGGAGTATATAAAGTGCTCCCAAGATAGAAAATATGCATTAATAAAACAAAGTTGGTCAAACATTTATTAAATATTAATGGGTGAATCTCACAATGTCACACTGTAAACAATTATGGCACTATATTATAAGTGTTATTTTAAAATTCACTATATTTTCTATAAAGACACAATTGTTGGATGTTTTTAAATTTTTACAAGCATGTTTTTACAATTCATATTTTGTAGTAGATATAGGTATTGCACATTAAAGTATTTTTATTTTATTACAGTAATGAAAATATCATGAGGATCATGGAAGAAAAGCATACACAAATGAAAAGAAATATCTAGATGCATAACGGTAATGAAAATTTTGGGGGAAATGTGCTTAGCTCTCATGACAATAATTTCACAATCGTAAAGTTCATTTAAAAAATCACTTGAAAACCATAAAACTATTAAATGATCATTTTAATGTAGCAAAATGTCTGGTGGCTAATACCAAATAACAACAGTTTTCATTCCAGTAGCAATAACTGTAAGTAACAATGGTATTTTAGAGGAAACTGTGGTTGCCTTGGTGCATTTTTGTAAGGGTCAAGAAAGAGAGGTTATACACTTCCCTTTCCATAAAATCTTCATCTAATTCACTTTCCTCAGTATTTCCATATTTCCATTCCACTGATGGTCTGGCTTTGCACTCTTTCTCTTCCCTCATCCATCTCTCCGGCACCTTTATGACTCTGAAAGGGCTCCTAAAATGTCAGACGCCTGAGTGTGCACTGCTGCTTTATACCCCACCTTTACAATTCATATTTTGTAGTAGATATAGGTATTGCACATTAAAGTATTTTTATTTTATTACAGTGATGAAAATATCATGAGGATCATGGAAGAAAAGCATACACAAATGAAAAGAAATATCTAGATGCATAACGGTAATGAAAATTTTGGGGGAAATGTGCTTAGCTCTCATGACAATAATTTCACAATCGTAAAGTTCATTTAAAAAATCACTTGAAAACCATAAAACTATTAGAAGATCATTTTAAAGTAGCAAAATGTCTGGTGGCTAATACCAAATAACAACAGTTTTCATTCCAGTAGCAATAACTGTAAGTAACAATGGTATTTTAGAGGAAACTGTGGTTGCCTCGGTGCATTTTTGTAAGGGTCAAGAAAGAGAGGTTATACACTTCCCTTTCCATAAAATCTTCATCTAATTCACTTTCCTCAGTATTTCCATATTTCCATTCCACTGATGGTCTGGCTTTGCACTCTTTCTCTTCCCTCATCCATCTCTCCGGCACCTTTATGACTCTGAAAGGGCTCCTAAAATGTCAGACGCCTGAGTGTGCACTGCTGCTTTATACCCCACCTTTATTCCTCGAGTGGAACACCAATAATAAAAATATAAGCATCATTTAAACAGTAATAAACAAACACATCAGTATCACTTTCTGATAATGACTGTTTGAATTTAAGGATAACAACGCCTAGAGTTCGAGAACTATATTTTATGTATGTGACATTTCATGCTTGGAGTGAGGAATTGTGGGCAGGGGCGGATCTAGAAAATAATTTTTAGGGTGGCAAAGGGGTGCCATGGGTTCTATGAGGGGTGGCAACACCAAAGCAAGCCCCCATGCATAGTTTTTGGGGATTTATGGTCTGACATATACAGTTGTGTTCACAAATATTATATTACCATTAAGTAATCATCTTAATTGTCAGGTTTCAGAAATTGTGTGACAAGTAAAGATTTTGTGTGTGAGCAGTAGAAAAGCTCACATACCAAAGAATTGTATGAACTTGACATGCACCACAATACAGTACAGTAAAAAATAAAATAAAAAAGTAAATTTAGCATCCTCTGCACATTCTGCTAAATTTCATTACAGTAAGCAGTACTATAGCAGTTTCTTGGTCTCCTGACACAAGACTAACTATATCTCTAAGCAGTCATTCTCCGTTCTGCAAAAATGCAGTACACATAGGCCTAAAAAATGGTTACAAATAAAATTTGACAGTCACATGCTTGCAGGTGTACAACATGTGCTACAGTTTACTGTACATATAGAATAATGAAATTTCCATTATCTAATGTACTGGTACTGTAATTATACTGTGTGTGTAAGTATAAACCCCTGTAGATGATTGGCTCAGCTCTCTCCTCTCTCCATTGTTGACATGCAGAGATTCTGATTGGTGAGTCATCAGTTTTGCTACCTAATGTTTAACTTACTCATTGTTAAACTTTTTGAGAAATGTGTCTTTGTTTTGAAAACTTAATGGTTTGGGGAATTAAGTGCTAACTAAAATCAGTTATATTAACAATCGAGAAAACTGCAATAGGACTAGATTCTTACCTAACTCTGCTATTAGTTTCCGTGATCGGCATCTTCTTATTGATTTCATGTTATTGTTTCGGCTTATATTCATGATGAAAGTGGAGCGAGCGGTCAGAGAATCGGATCACCAAACAATTACGTGATGAATCTCAGACATATCCGGACGGGATTAGATTTCTTAGAGGAATTCTGAGTTACCTGAAAAGCAGTAATTATCTGATTCACGAACAAATGTAAAAACAATTCGTAAGTGAACTGGGCTGCGCTTTGTGGTTTTGACTCAAAAAGATCCGGTTCATAAGAGCAGGGCCGTTTCTAGGCATAGGCGAGCTAGACGGTCGCCTAGGGCGCCACCAGCTGAAGGGGCGCCAATGAGTGTATGTAGTTTGGGGTAACAAAGGGGTTTTATAGGTTTGACTGAAATAATAATGCAGTAACTGACACTTTAAATCAATGTTTCAAGAAACAACAACACAAAAATTGAACAAAAAACAGATAAAGACAAAAAAGTAGCCATTGATAATATCTAAACAATATGTAGTAGTATAGTATATAGTATCCAAATCAAAATGTAATAAAGCTGTGGGGTGGCACAGCTTTTTCTTAGGGTGGCAGTTGCCACCCCGTGCCACCCCGGTAGATCCGCCCCTGATTGTGGGTAAGTTGGAGTGCAGGCAACAACTTGTCGTCAGGATTTCCATAACCTCATAAACCTGTAAGCAGATTACATTTCAGATGTAATATATTCCAAGTGAGTGGTTTGTTTGTGCTCAAACCAAATCTTGTAATTTGCGCTGTGTATTTAATTGAGAATAATATAAAAAAACCCACAATGTTTTATGGAACGAGCTGGACTTTATTTTTGCGCCATTGCTGCTCTTGATATCTCTCTTGTGCTTAGACGTGCTCGATGAACTTTTGAAATTCTGATGAGATGATTTTAAGTTAGGTTTTCAGCATAATGATTCTGGTGTTTGGCATATACAGAGCGGGAATTAAATCTACTCTTTTATTATCTGTGTGATGAAGTCTTTTATGCTTAACCAATGGTTTATTTCGCTCTGTTAATATTTTCTTTCCCTCTGTGGAGTATTTGGGGAATGAATGAATAACAAGCTTTAATTAATTGAGCCAAAGTTAATGATTTCTAGACAATTGCTCTTAAGTAAATGGCACAGTTCCTCATCCATTTATATCCCGTTTTAAATCCATGATGAATTAACAACCTTTTGGGCCTTTTTGCTCTCAAAAATAACAGGACAGACCATAATACACTCCACATGCAGTGTTCCGTTGAGGCTATGGCTGGATCCTAATTTGCATATCATCCATACTATTTAGTATGCAAAATTACATCTCAAATCACTGAACTGGTTTAGAAAAAAGTTAATAAAGTTGGTGCTTTCAGAAAACATAATATAGTAAGTTCTATCAATTTAAAACTAATTATGTTTTCTTTACTTGTAGGTTCAAGTTCAATATAATTGCATTTTAAGTTAAAATGAGAAAACTATAACTATCATAAACTAATAGTGATGTAGACTTTTCTTAGTTTGACAGATTCTTCCAACCAAGTTTAACTTGTGTATTAGTTAGTTGAGCAAACTTAAAGGGATAGTTCACCCAAATATGAAAATGAAGTCATTCGTTCATCTTCAGAACACAGATTAAGATATTTTTGATTAAATCCGAAAGCATATATATGCGTTCCCGAGAGTCTCTCACATGAAATGAATGATTATAATGTTCAGGATAATGCGAAAAGAGCCTTTTGTCAATGTGCCATGCAAAGCAAAGCAAAGGGATTAATTCAAACTATAATCTCACAAAACCAGACCTATATAGTCTAAAATATATGTTATAATCAAACTATCATAACAGTGTAATTTAATTACCTCATCCATCGACATGGTGCCAGTGAATTGCAGAACTGGTGCAAACATATGCACTTGGCTATGATCAGATGCTTTCCTAACTGCTGTTTTCTCACCGCTGTCATTTTTGTTCTCGTTATATTCAACTAAATTTCACTCTCAGCAGCATGGACGATGTCTGGATTCCAAGCCGAGAATGAAAAACAGCTTTGATGTGAGTATATCGGGGTCTTGAATCATGTTCAGTCCCTTGTACTTTACATGTGCATGTGCATGAGTATGAGCACCAGCAATAAGTTGCTGGATGCTGCCAAACGGTGTCACAAATAAGGGTTTCTGAATTCTACATATAGCCCCTTTAAAAGCAGCACATAATTTTTATCTAACATTCAATATTGTTATCTGTGATAGCAGCATGGGACGTCTGCACAAAGAATGGATTCAAACCAACATGGGGTCTCTGAATATGACCAAATATGAATAAACAGATTGCAAGTGAAGAAATATTGCCTCAGATAGGGTGTGTGTACAAAAAAACTAAACAATTTTAGATCACTTTCCTTCTTTACAATGTGGCATGTACATCTGTACACTGTAATCTACATATAAAGTGAGTCCCATATTTATTGCTTCACTTATTTTCTGTGAAAAACATGATTTGGCTCATTCTGAATTCAGAAGCTGGTACTTTTTATTTTTATTGTTTGTGAGTTCATAAATTACAGTGTACTGGACTGTGTTTAAAGGCCCAAAGTGTATTTTCCATTTGTATGCAATGAATAATTCATTGAAATGAAGGGGTTTGATTGTATGCAACTGATTATATATAATGTTACATAACAATATGCACTGAAGCTGTGGGCTAGGTATGGTAAGCTAAAAATAAACCTTATTTTTTAGAGCGTGAGGTTAATAACCTCTGTCAGCGTGGGAATTAACCTCATGATTCCGCTTGACAAATTAAATATTACTTAAGGCTGTTATACAAGCCTTTTTCGAGATTTAAAAGGAAGATGCGAACATGTTATGATTCTAATCTTATACTGCTTCGTATCAAAATATAATGATAACATAACAGAATCCCTAAACCCCCAAACAGTCCCATCTTATCTATGCTGACACTACATCTTTGTGTTGTCAGCAGTTTTGTGTGAACTGCAAAACTGGTCGTAGTTGCTGCCTGACCAGTATTAACCCTTGTGAAAAAGAAGTACACTTTACCATCCTTTCAGAAAGAGTACTTATTATGGAAATAATATACTTTAAAGTAATATACTTAAGTGCGAATTGAATGTAATATTTTCAGAACTTAATTACATGTTGTTTACAATTAAAATAAAATGTATTATAGTTTATATGTACATTAAGGTAGAACTTCTCAGTGCTTTTTTAAACCAATTAAGCAGGGCTTAAGCACGTCTTTATATGTAATTTCATAACTATTTCTACTGTCTTTGAAATTCTATTGCACATTTGAAATACTACAGTTTAGTGCCAAATATACTGAAAAGCATTAATGGTAAACTATTAATGGTATATACTTTAATGTCATTTCTACTGAAACTTGTATGCTGTGTATTTAAATGTTTAGAAATTACACATTTCTAATGATGAAGTTGCAATTGCATGCAATTAAAATTTATTAAGTAATGTCAAATAAAAAAAACACTACAGTTAAAACTATAATAAAATACTTTGTGCAATAGTATGTCAACTCATCAAAATAAGTGCACAACAGTAGACTTTAAAGTTATTTTTTATTTTAACATGATTGCAAAGTGCACTTTTTGACAGTGTACTTTAGTGTTTTATGAAACATAGTCATGAAAGTTAACTTTAATTACACTTAAGTGGCCTTTTATTTAATTAATATTATATTACCTACAAGTGCATATTTAATACAACACTTCTTTTTCACAAGAAACATCTAAAATGAACAGGATGCAGAGCAAAACCATTAAGTTTTCCATATCCCAGAATGCTTTGGTAAAGAATGACTCTCACACAATCACCCACTGTAAGCCCGTTCACAGAAATTACGCATCCACATTAACATCAACTGTTCTGAACTGAAAATTCGGTCATCATCTACCCTCACTCATGCCCCTCTAAATTAGTAGTATGGATTTTCCCCCTTAGAATAAAAATGTCCACACAATGAAAATGCCATTAAATTAAACTAAATTATTGAGACATGCTACATATCATGAAATTGTTTTGATTTCAGAATGTTTTGTCACATACTTTATAGTTTCTAGCTAAATTCATTATATTTGAAATTCATTTCCTGTATTTACTTTTTTCAGGTTAATACATTTAAAACCAGTGGGAAGCTAAGCTTCTCCTAATTCCAATGTAGTTGAACTGTCAAGCTAGCTTTTTAAAGAGTAGTTAGCCACACACTGAGGGGAATGTATTTTTAAGTATATAACGAGCACAAAAACAACAAGGATCACACAGCATTAAACTTGAACAGACACTAGATAAATAAAACTAGAAACATTTCAACTTACGTCACTGTAAAATATCCAACTTGTCCATGTTGTCAGACAAACTCGACTGATTGAACCATTAAATCTAGAAACGTCTGACATTACATATACAATTAAATAGTCAACTTTTATACCCCACCGCTTTTCTAATTCTTATTATAACCACATAAGGAAATAATAACTTAAATGAATACTTTCTAATGAATATACAACTACTGTAAGTGTATCCACTGATGATGCACTTGATTAATTTGTGTGTTTTGGTCAAAACATGAGGACTTATGATGACAGAAATATTTGTTATTCAGAATGAATAGATGTTTCATCTCTGTCATATTTTTGATTATATTTTGTTGTAAAAGTTTTACCATTAGTGTGATTAGTGTTCATAATGGTGAAGTTTCTCCTTTTCAATGAGTTTACACAACTTTTGTATTTTTATTTAACCTTTTAAAGGGGATATGTGTAGAATTCAGAAACCCTTATTTGTGACACCGTTGGCCAGCATCCTTTGCATTTGCATATCTGTCTATTGTCGTACTGTCTATTGTCTATTTTGTATATTGTGCTTTTTATATTTTTATTTGTTAGTTTTTTAATCACTTATTCTATTTTTTTGTCATGTGAACTTCCAGCATCAGTTTAATTTTTTTCTCTCACGTAGACTCATGGAATAGTAAAGTGTTCATCATATGCGCACTTTAGAATTTTGCCGGAAATAAACGGTCATCTGGGGAATTTTTTCTAATTTTTTTACGAATACTGTGAATTCAGACATACTACTCTGTTCACATACTGTTTTACACCTACTATATAGTAGAGAATTATGCAATTTTGGATGCAGCCTATGGATTCGGACATGCTACTCTTTTGCAATCATTTTTTGCATACTATATAGTATGGAAATAGGCATATTTGAACACAGCCAATTGCATACTCTCTTGAGTAGATACTTATTGTCAATAGATAATTACTTCGTGACCACTAAAAAAAGTATGCTATATATAGTATCAATGTAATCTACCTTCACCATGTTGTCATTATCATGTGACCTACTAGCACCATTTGTGTCACTTCACTGCCATTCACAAATCCTCTCCCGTAGCCCCATGGGATTGTAAAGTGTCCATCATATGTACCCTTCAGCATCTTGCTGGAAGTAGCAAGTCATCCGAGTACTTTTTGTCTACCCTTTTATGAGTACTGCAAGTTTGGACATACTTCCTTTGTCACATACTGTTTTTCACCTACTATAATGTTATTCCAGTTGCAGCCCATGAATTTGGACATACTACTCTTTTGCCATAGTGTTTTTCACATACTATACAGTATAGAAGAAGGCATATTCGAACATGGTGATTGTGTTGCAAAGCAACATTGGTTTAACCAATAGTGTTAGTTTGGGGCGGGACTATCTGTTGAAACAACCAATGGCAAATGGTAGAAGTGTTCAAAAAGTAATTCCTTCAGTAATGTCATTAGGTTGTTAACCTACTTTTAGTTAGTGACTTTCTGAAGTACTTTTTGAAATGCTGACTGGCAGATGGGAGTGAAGGTAGTGGTTGACTTTGGCCACAATTATCATGGGCTGCGGTCTTAACATTGACAGAAGAGATTAATACTTCCTTTGTCACATACTGTTTTTCGCCTACTATAATGTTATTCCAGTTGCAGCCCATGAATTTGGACATACTACTCTTTTGCCATAGTGTTTTTTACATACTATACAGTATAGAAGAAGGCATATTCGAACATGGTGATTGTGTTGCAAAGCAACATTGGTTTAACCAATAGTGTTAGTTTGGGGCGGGACTATCTGTTGAAACAACCAATGGCAAATGGTAGAAGTGTTCAAAAAGTAATTCCTTCAGTAATGTCATTAGGTTGTTAACCTACTTTTAGTTAGTGACTTTCTGAAGTACTTTTTGAAATGCTGACTGGCAGATGGGAGTGAAGGTAGTGGTTGACTTTGGCCACAATTATCATGGGCTGCGGTCTTAACATTGACAGAAGAGATTAAAACCACGTTTGAGCTTTAACTGTGGAATTAATTAACTTTTGTGCTTTAACAGGGGCCTTGACGTTTTCTCTTAATTTGATTTTACCAGCTGGTACATTCCTGGAATACTGAAAAAAAGGTGTGTGTTTTCATAAAGGACAGTATGTCTTTCCTTTCTGTTTTTCTCTCTCTCATACAGTCTTTCTTTCTTTCTGCATGTATAATGCATTGCAAACAGGGCATTCGTCTCCACAATTTAATAGATGCCCTCTTTCACTTTGAACGTGATGGATCCAGCACCCGATGAAGAAGGATAACAAGAAAGTGTGAGGAAGAGGACATGCGCATGGGCATCACTATGAGGGAGTCTGTATAATGTGGGTGGACTGCATTGTTTTTCATGGAAGCCCTGCAAGGCGGTGTGGATTTTCTCCTGCTGATCAGCAGTCAGAGGTTTCGAGTTAATTGGAGAGGATAGACGGTCAGATTCATCCGAGGCCAGAAATAAATGAATGGTCTGACCATGGACTCCATTATTAAGCACACTAATTGTGTCAATACAACCTTTTCAGCTGTGACTACGTCTCAACCAGCCTAACACAGCAACACTGGCTCATCCAGTGGTGTGAGTTTGGGGTAGGACTACCTGTTTATCCAGCCAATGGCAGAACCTGTTTGAAAACAACCATTATATTTGCAATTCCGTTCCATATACACTTAAGATTTAGCAAATTTATCTTTCACTAGTGAGGGTGTGGTGCCATCAGCCAGTCAGTGTTGTCTTGATGTTCTTGTACCTCAGCAATGATTAGTAACATGGGATTTATGGCTCAGTTTATTGGCTCAAATAGCTCTGATGCTGCATTCAAGTCTTTATGGAAATCACAATTATGATGCAGTGATGCATTGTAGTATTATATTGTAGTATTTGTTAATATTTTGAATGAGCTTTTATTGTTATATTTTTAGTTTT